CACACGGACACAAAACGGGTTGTATCCGCTACAGTTCTCTATCGTATGGACAGTTCGTCCACACGAGGCCATAACGGAACCGCGGAAATGGATCCCTCAAACGTTAACAGGTCCCAAGGTGGGTAGATCTGCGGACGAAACGTTCTGGGGGGGGCCTAACGGCTCTGTGTGTACGTCCTATACGATCATTTCCTGATAACGATGAAGCCATAGCCCCGCCTCTCCCCACCTCTGCTGCTCACTGCTGTAGCATGGTCAGTAGCTACTGTCAGTAGCTACTGACCATGCTTCAGAGGTTAGTGCAAAATCTACAGCTCNGGGGGGTCTTCTTCGTTGCTTTTGGTGTATTCTGTTCTGGAAGTACAACGCCACTTACATGCCCGGCATATGTACTACAGCGTCTCCAGCGGGTCGAGCCGTCTTGTGTGGACGGACACGTTTCTAGAGCCGATACCGTGTGGACGGAAGACTTTTTTGATATCGAATTTGGTTCGTTCTCAGTAGACTTGGCGATAGAGAGGAAGAGTCAACCGGAGCCATGCTGTTTGCCTTCATGTCTTCCCCCGGGCTGCTCGGGCTCACTGAAGCAAACAAAACAATAAAAGTGACTTATGGATTGTTTAGGGAGTCCGCCTGTTCGCCTGCATCTATCTCAGTGTTGTTTCCCATCAACACAAGATAATAAAAACTGTGTAAATGTAGAGATCAGTAACCTTTAGTTAAGGTGTGTAGATGCAGCCTTAAAGCGCAGTGCGTCTCATACGGACCGTTGGCATTGGATGCCCTTGGAACGAGACCTGCCTGCTTAATGCCATTTGACTGGATCTGTCTCCTTGATAACAGTCCTAAAATGTTCATTAAGCTTCCTTCATTTATGTGTTTTTTTGTAACACATCACCGAATGCATGTAGGAGGTGTTGCTTGTAGAGATCACAGAGAATAATTACCTTTCAGATGCCTACACCCCCATCAGCTGTCTGGTGTAGTGTAGTGTCTTTGAGCTTATTGTCTTACTGTTTGGTTCACTCTCACTGCTCTCATAGTGTTACCTCACACTTGCGCTAAAAGTCAAGTTTGATTTATTGCCAGTTTCATTGCATTAATATTTAAATGTATAAGCACGCACACAAATTGGCCATCTAGCGATGTATTGTATGTACTAAAGGGTAAGAGGATGTTGTATCAAATGGAACATATTGCTAATGAATGTCAGGTTGTGTCCTGCAATGGCATTTTTAATTAGCCTCGATTAGTTGTTGCTTCTGGCCTGTTAATTAAAACTCTTGTTTGGCATCACAAACCCAACACACATGCTTATTTACTTAATATTTCCTGCTATATTTACAGCTTCCGCAGCTATTCTCCAGTGTAAAAGCGCTTACTTTGACACATGCAACAGTGGCATTATGTGATAATAAATGGAATCTTGTTTTCTGTGCCCTTTCACACCCTGCACAAGTAATTATCAGCATGTTCACACTGTGCCTCGGGCTCTGAGTTCCAGGCTATAATTATAATTCTGTATTAGATTTGACAAAAAAATCTGTGTTGCACTGTCACACACAGGAAAATAACACATGCTGTAGCTGGTTTGCAGTAGACTTGGCGATGGAGAGGAAGAGTCAACCGGAGAGCCATGCTGTTTGCCTTCATGTCTTCCCTCGGGCTGCTCGGGCTCACTGAAGCAAACAAAGCGATAAAAGTGACTTATGGGGTGTTTAGGGAGTCCACCTGCTCGCTTGCATCTCAGTGTTGTTCCCCATCAACACAAGATAATAAAAAACATGTGTAAATGTAGAGATAAGTAACCTTTAGTTAAGGTGTTTACAGCTCCCACTTACAATGTCAAGACAATGGAACGCTTTAACAAGACTAAAACATTTGTATTCCTCTTCATTTTACTTTTTTCCTTTTGATATCTTTACACCACCACATTTATCGAACAGCTATATTTACTGGCCAGATTTATGATTCTACGTTGTATTATGAAGCCTTAAACTACCCCACAATATATAAAACTGTTCAAATTTGCTCTCAAATGAGCTACAATAGCTAAATCCTTTAAACACACAGATATGTAACAGTGTAGTTACTGCTACTCTGTCCTGCTGCTCTAACAAAAGGTGTATCACTCCACAGCTGATAATAGTCCTACAAAATGTGCTAACTCCCACCCCAGTCCATTAAACCAAGAAATGTAGATAAAAGCCCTTGTTAGCTTAATATGTATTATAATATGTTGCTACTATACTCCTACAGCATGGATACAGTACCTTGTGTCGGTTTGCTTTCCCCTTGTTGTATGTAGTGTAACTACAGCTTGCAAAAGCATATATACTGTCTTTATTTATTCAAATTCTGATTAAGAATAATACAAATAAAATGTAGTACCCAGCTGTTTCAGCCATTTAATCAGCCTTTCTGTTTTTAAATATCCCTTTTTAAATCTGTGATTCGTCTTTGTGATTGTTTTGTCTAGTTCAGTTGGATTAAACCGATAAGGATAGGCTAAGGATAGTGCAGGGAGGTCCAGAAAGATAGACTAACAAGCGTGGGTAAGTTTTTAAGGATGTGGTTGAAAACAAAAACCAGTCACCAGCCTTGTCATTTAAATGTTCCTGCATGTGATCTTGCATATGTTCCTGCTTTTAGATTCCTGTCTCTGTTTCTAACTTTAGCTCCTGTTTGAAAAAGTTGCAAAAGTTAGATTGAAAAGAAAGTCTGAGGCAGTCTCTTTCAAAGCCAGCCGTTCACACCTCCTCGTATCCAAGCCGCTCTGGATAATGGCCAGTCGGCGCTCTGCACAGGCAGAGAGTCTTAGCTGTGAGAGAGTTAGTTAACAGAGGCTCTCCCCATCATTATGTGTGACGGCTACACTGTGATGTATGTTTGGCTGAAGTCAACAGATGGGATAATTAATCACACACAGATATGTAGATGGAGGTGTCACTCGTAATTATTTGATGCTGGTTCAGCAAACTCGCCCGAATAACATCAAGTAATAATTAAATGATGAATAATGAGCCAAGCAACAGCTTATATTTCAATGTAAAAATACTGTGAGTATGCATGATTAGAATTTAAAGGTGGAAGGACTCGTTTTTATTTCACTATTAATAATTGATTAGTTGTTAAATGTCCGTCACCTCTTCTTTCCTAAACGATGCCCTATGAAGCTCTGGATTATTATGAACCTTTATAGCTGTGAAACTCAAAGACAAACCAAGCGTGCATTGTGCTTTTCTGCAGGTTGAAAGAGTGAAAGGTCTGAGGGGAGCTTCAAAATGTGCTTTCACAGGCATACATTTGAATTCAACTTTTTTTTTTAAGGGCTCAGCCACCAAATAGCTCTGTTAGGATGGGATTGCTGTTGCAATCTCATGATGGCCGGTTCATATTTCCCCACTGCCCAGTCTGATGTCTGGGAGAAAATTGAAGGCAGTCAGCTGTAGCGTTATAGCCACAATACTCTGAGGCTTTCATCTTTCACAGAATTCGTCAGCTGTAATGAAGACTTGACAAACCAAGACTGCTTTTGAGTGACATATGTGCTGTTTACTCTCAAACACATTTGTCATTTTTACCATTGTATCTGAAAAGCAACTCGAATGACAGCTAATTAGGTAGCATAACCTCTTGATTTGTTATAAAATATGTATTTCAGGGTTTATTCCCTTAAACCTTAAAGTCATATAATAATATACCGTCCCATTGTGTACTTTTGGATGATGAGGATGGTGAAATCCACCTTAGAATTTCTTTTGTATCACTCTTTAAAGCTTTCACTCCCCCTCACACCAGCAGCCTTATTTGCTATTCACAGTATTTATCAGAGACTGTCTTTGTCTTCAAAGTCCATCGTTGTTCAATGTCTAAAATAAAACAAAGGTTGTAAAAAGGCATAAAGAACGTCTCCTATACTAACTGCCCAACACTAGTTCAAGATAAAATAAATATGGACCAATCAAACTCTGTTGAACCACTAATGGTTTCCTTACTCTTGAGAACTGTTGATACAGTCAAACAAATTGTATTCATAGCCAATAAGCCACTGTCCTCATCAGACCTATACATAATGTAAAAGAACATTAGAACAGGAAGCTTGTATTGATTAATATTGCGAGTAACACCTCATATTAGCGTTGGTGTAATTTACAGTATTTGTACATCTTAACATAAAGGTGGACTTTTTAGGTTTTCACAGTGACAACGATTTGGCTAAACACACCAACCTGTTATTTCTCATCAGCCACTTCACACCTACCTGTTTATTCCCGTCATTTAAAAAAATACAGTCTGGGATACTGTTGTTTTTTGGTTTTTGGGACATAAATTTCAGTTGGCAGCAAACAGCAATTGAAAGATTGGCAGATGGACTTAAACACACTTCTTATCTGGCTGTACACACTCAGAGCAAAAGAGGAAAATAAGAGTTGGATGTTGGGATCACCTCAGTCCTGCCGTAGCGGCCCCGGGGGAATATCATATTATGAGGTAGCCAGCCATAACATCAGACCTGTTGGGCTGAAAGGTCATACCCAGGAACAGGAATGGCCTCTGTCCATTCAAAGAAATTAACTTTTTATTTGACCCCATTCTGCCACCCTGATTGATTTCATAGTCCAAACTCACACGGCTGGAAATATAGTGTTTAGGCTTCCAAATGTGTCAAACGTCCCCTGATAGAGATAATGAACAGATATGTTCACTCTGCTTTTGATTGTAACAGTGATACGGTGTGTTGGGTTTAATTGTAGTGTGAAATTCTTCATAATTAAAGGGTAATTAATCTACACAAGGCGTAAACCACCAGATACCATGTAATGAAACCTGTCAGAGTGCATGGTCTCTGTCTCTTTAACTGTCTGTCCATTTAAAGATAAACATATTAAAACTCTATGACATGCTTCTTAAACACTTAATGCCATGCATGACCATTCAAGGGGATCCACATCGCAACATCACGCCAACAGCTTATTCATATTTTATTTTCGCACGACAGCAGACAGCTTAAGCAGAGGAAGTATTTGTACCACACTTGTAAAAATGTCAATGTGAAAACAAACAACAAAAACTATACAGGCAGAGAGGTAGTTTCATGAAAAGCAAATTTGTTCCTTAATACTTTGTCATTTATGGCCACTGTGAACATAACGTCATAAAAATAATTAGCTTATAGCCTGGAGTGTCAGCCCTTCTCAGTGCCATCTTGATTCTATGGTCCAGTCAGAGATCAGATCAGAGACTGTTGTAGTGATTTTGTCTGCCATAGTAAGAGGGTTAGACCCCATATATGGGGTCCAAAATAAATCTAAAGGATCATTTATTAATTTATCCCTAATGACTCTCTAATGATTCTGTTGTTAGTGAAATACTAGATATTAGAGTTTAAGTCTTTCAGGCTTCCAACAATATTCAAAATAAATAATTGACTAAATGTCACTGAGGTTAGGGCTTGTCAACATATTAAGCACATATGAGGAGGGGTCACAGGATCATATTCAGGTGAAGGGCTGGAAAACACTGCCCTGTGTGTGTATACAGGGTTATCAACCTCGGCTGAGTAGAAACCCCAGAACTGCAGGGGCCCATTGACCTCTATAAGCTTACTGTGCGCAAACTGATTTTTGACACATTGACATGCTAAAGGGCCTTAGTATTGGCTCAATCAACATATTTGGAAATAATAGTTTGACATTTTGAGAAATACGCTTCTCTCTTGGTTGAAATCAGAAATTAGCTTAGCATAAATAATTGTTTTTACCATTCATTTTCTCCATTAAAAAGCAAAAAAAGCATTTTATTATCCAAAATGTAATCTGAGGCTCCGCCTGGAAAAGGATCCCATGTGTCGAGTTCTAAATGATCTCAGTTTGGTGCTTATGTACTGTATGATGACAATGTTGAAATGATTAGGCCTTTGTTAGTTTAAATCAAATCTGTGGCCGACTGATACTGTGGCACAGACATTTATAATAACCTGCAAAGTGAATGGTAGCAGCTAAGGGGTGTTTAGGGGGGCTTTTGAGCTTGTTTTTGCCCTGCGGCCCCAGAGCAGCTAAATCCGGCCATGTGTGCATTTTCTTTTTGATGTATAAACAGCTTGATCAAGAATGAAACGCCTTTAAGCATTTAAGCACACTTCAGTATAGGATAAAAAAGAAAGGGGGAGCTCACTATTCAGACTGCTAAAGCCTGTAATGGGATCATACAGTAGCTTGTAGGAACACACAGCAGGGGGTTGAAGGAGTGCACTGTCATGACTGAATTACAACAGAACAATGAGACTTAATAGTGAGCAACAAGTGCTGGCTTCTTTTTTTAACGTTGATATTTTCTAGTCATTGTCACGGTGGTGCAGCAGTTCCCATCTAAAAGGATTTTGCCCACGACTTGCAGAGGATCTTCTGGAAGGCGCGTCTGAAGTCTCGGTTAAAGATGGTGTAAATAGCCGGGTTAAGGGAGCTGTTACAGTAGCCAATCCAGAAGAAAAATGTAAACAGGGGGTCGGGGATCTTACAGGAATCCCTGCACACACCGCGCAAGCTGTAACTGAAGAAAAAGGGGAACCAGCACACTACAAACACCCCCATGACCACCGCCAGGACAAATGTAAACCTCTTCTCCCTGGCCTGCGAGACCTTTTTCCTGGCAAAGGAGCTCCGGCGGCGCTTCCTCCTGGAGGTGAAGAGGTCCATGGATTTGTTGCTGACCCTGGCGATGCGACTGCACTGTTTGCTGATTTTCTTTTGGCTGGCCCTCTTGGCTTTCAGGGAGTCCTCCTGCTGCTGGGGCTTGTGACCTTTGCCCTCTGAGGAGGAACTCTCCTCCATGTCCCCATCCTCAGTATGTTGCATGATGGTGTCGGTGCGTTGGCTGGGCGTAGGCGGGCACTGACAGTGGCCGTTCTCCCTCTCGCCATGGTAAGGGGAGATGGCTTTGCTCAGTCCATTTTCAGTTTGTGTCTCTCCATCTGGCCTGGGGATTTTCCCAGACATGGTTCTGGTTCTGGTTTTGGCCACCTGGTATATCCTGATGTACACCAGCACCATGATTATGCACGGGGCGAAGAAGGACGCAATGCTGGAGGAGAGGATGTACCAAGTGTCATCATTGAGCTCGCACTGAGGCAGGGAGCTGAGGTCCTTGTTGCTGTCTATAGAGATGAGTGGCGGAGAGGAGATGAAAGCAGATATGAGCCACACGATGATGATGATGCACTTTATGCGTTTGGGAGTCCGCTTCAGGTTGTACTCTACAGCCTGCGTAACGGACCAGTAGCGGTCCAGGCTTATTGCGCACAGATGAACAATAGAAGAAGTGCAGAACAAAACATCCAAAGCCAGATAAATGCCGCACCAAACTTTTCCGAAATACCAGTAGCCCATAAGTTCGTTCGCCAGAGAAAACGGCATCACCAAAGTGGCGACAAGGATGTCCGCGGTGGCCAGAGACACCAGAAACAGGTTCTGTGGGGCTTTCAGCGCCCGGCTCGTCAGCACCGCAATAACCACCAGAATATTCCCAACCACGGTGAACAGAATGAGAAAACTCACAAGAGCCGCAATGCTGGCTATCGCTGCTAGAGAATATCCACTGTCCAGACTCCAGGAGGAATTCAGATGGATCACCGTGAACGCGTCCATTCCGCTGGCGTTAAACGAATCCATCGCGACTGTGCGCGCCTTATGTATATCCTGGAGTGGCTGAATATTTGCATGAATTCACATTCAGCCTTCTAACAATTGAGGAGTCCATCCAAAACGCGCAGTATCCAATTTACAAATCTGACGACATGGATACGCGCGCATAAAAAGATCCTTAACGTATTTAAGGGTTAAAAGCAGCCATATCTCAAAATCACTTACTTCAATTAAATAATAATCTCTCGTTCCCCCTTTCATAGTCTTCTCCCTGATGGTGAGGAGTTGAGTGCCGGCCAGCCGCAGCTCTCCTCCCTCAGCATGGTGCGCTCTCGCTCCTAATGATGCCCCATGTGTTGTTCTCATAAAACTCACCCACTGCTGCCCCGCCCCCGCCACACAGCATTATTTTTCATATTTTTGGGATATGATAAGGTTAGGGAACAGACTGAATTTTAGCTCAAATTATATCAATTTCTAATACATCCCAGTGTTTGGATGTAACCCTAAATCTTTCCAAAGGTAATAGCTTAATAAAACACCTTTTTTACTACTTTTCTTTACCTCAATTAAATAAAATCTTGAATACTGTACGATGCTTAACATTGCTGCATACAGGTTGTCAGGCTATTTGAGGTGAAACTCAGAAATATGTGCACAGAAACCTGAGAGACACGTGAAGGATGAGATCTTTGGAGTTTTGGCAGCAGTCTCGAGGGGAGAGAGTGAAGGAGGAGAGTCAGTGTGATTGGGGTGAGCTGAGGGAAGTTGGAGATGTGGGGTGTGTTGGGTTTTGGCGTTGAGCTCATCAGGGGAGAGGCGGGCTGCTCGTTCAGATGAACCGTAAGAAGATGGATTGATTTCTCTTGTTACACACCTTCACACGTCAACATGTTTAGGGTTATTTCTCATTACTCATGCTCCCACACACATATATCTAGACTTCCAACTCAAAACACTGTGTGTTTAATGTTTCTTTCAGTGCTTTTGTAAAAGCATATGTCCTTCAAGGGGTGGGGAGCTGATTTTAATGGACAGGGACAAACATTATGTGCATTATTTACCTGGTTTCTCCATCTTAAATATAGTTTTATCTCCTATAAAATAGTAAGTTATTGGGGAGGCTTTAAATAATCCTACTTTCCCACTTCCTGAGCTGTTCTCTATTCTGCACATTACAGCACAGTGCAACGCATGGTTCTGTGATGGAAGTCAAGTAGCTGCCTTTTAGTAGTCGAGAGCTAAAAATGTGGAGACCTCCTCACTCATAGTACATACTGTCTCATTTCAGCGATGTTTTATAACAGAAAATGTTATAACAATGTTTCACACAATATATATCAACCTGAGGAGAAAAGGCTGAAATAACAAGGGCCTGTGCATAAAGAGTCTTTGAATAACATAAAGTGTTATCCAATGGATGATCTTGTGTGATCCCTGCAAATCACAGGAAATAGCGATCGTAATTCAAAGATTGTTCCTCAAGGTTATCCACGATTCAATTGTGATTTCTTAGAGATATAATACCTTAAATGGCATCCAGGAAAGAAGTACATTCGGTTAGCCTTATAGGTTTTATGTGAGAAACATGACATGAAAAGTATAAAAACTGTAACACCGCTCACATTTTCTACATTCAATTATGAATCTCTTTGGAGAATAATCCAGTGTTAATATCCACATAATTAATCTGACAAAAGAAACACTGGCAGCAAACAATCATTTTATATTTGGGGTGGGTTTTTAGGCTACATATATATACTGCTGCTGGTTTATAAAGCATTGAATGGTTCAGGCCCAAAATACATTTCTGACCTCCTGCTAAATTATGAACCATCCAGATCTCTCAGGTCTTCTGGGATGGGTCTGCTTTTTGTCCCCAGAGCCAGAACTAAACATGGAGAAGTAGCGTTCAGTTATTATGCTCCAAATATCTGGAGCAAACTCCCAGAAACCAACTCTGACTACTTTTAAATTCAGGCTGAAGACTTTTCTTTTTGTCGCTGCTTTGAATTGAACAATTCACATCTTAAACGGCACTGTAACTTTTATTCATGTATTTTTTCTTTTAGGGTTTATTTTATTATGTTTGCTTTAAATGCCATTTTCTTAATGTCTTTCATTTTTGTAAAGCACTTTGAATTGCCTTGTGTTGAAAGGTGCTATATAAATACAATTGCCTTGCCTTACATATTATCATCTTTACAATATAATACATAATTTCACCCTAATAAAACTTAGGGCACTTCATAATTTAAATCAAGTCTGAGGCAGTGAAATACAGTCACATTAAACATAGAATAAAGTACCAACAAAAAAACAAACAGTTAAGTTTCTTTTCAAATCTTTGATTCACTCTCCTTTCTCAGCAGAATGCTTTAATAGTGTCATTTAAAAAAAGTGCTCTTTATTACTTAATGACCCTCATTCACAGAGCTTTAGATACCTTTGAGAATACTCAAAGGACTGATACAATGCTCAGCTTTCTGTCCTGATTGAATATCAGCTTGAAAGACTCAGTTCTGAGATTGAAAACCTTAAATGGTGCTTTGTCCCCGAGGCCTCATGAGAACTTCAAGGCTTAAAAGCAATTCATGACTTAATTATGTCTAGGTCATGTGTCTTGCATCATCCATATTGCTGTTATATTTTCTATTGTAAATCTCTTTAAATCTAAGGGCCTGTTTCTCTTGATGTCAGAGGTGTATCATTACAAGTAGGGTTAGTATTGACTCTTGGATACCATTGTGCAGCTTTAGTAAACAGTAACACTTCAGTATCTTTAGCAGTCTTTTGCAAAGCGAGGTGAAAGCATGAATCATTGTCTTACCTCATCCTGATAGCCTGCCGGGGGGTGGAACCAGTGACCTTTTGGTTGAGCTTGCCTCACTGCAGTATCTTCCATAACATCAGGTCCATGTTCCCTTCATCCATTCAGAGTTGCCATACTAGTACAACTATATATCTCAACCCCCTTATGTACATTATTGATTGGAAGCTCTTCTCAATATATCCAAATTCTTGTGGCTGACACAGGATTAAGATGAGCGCAATGTGCCATCACAGACAATTTCAATGTAGTTTAAAGAACTAATTGATGGGAAATGGTGTCTGCTTTTAGCCATAATTGCTAGTCTTATTCATCTTAAATGTCAGTGTGTGTCACCCCATTAGGAATTCCCTTTTTTTGTGTTTGTAATATATTTTAGAGGCTTTGTCCGTTGTATGTCGTTTCATCGGTGGATGTTCTGTGTCCTTTTTGGTTAACCTGTTTTGGATACTTCAGACAGAAATGTCTTTTGAACATGAGTAGAGGGCGAGATCAGATTGAATCAGGACGCATGCTGCCCACGTAGCATCTTAAAGCTACGGACACATCAAAGTCTGTTTACAGGCCCCTCTCTTCATGTGAAAACAGTTGTGTTAAGCCTTTTGTGGCTCCAGAGGGAATTGTGTGAAATGAACACATTAAATCCAGCTTTGTTGGCATCCATGTTTACTTTTTACTCTACAAAAAAGCTTAGTAGCGCCTCTTCAAGAGGAAAATATAACTTTGTAAAGACACAGAAGATGCAACAACATGACAGAGTGAAGACTACATCTCCTACACCATTTATCTTTAGAAACAAGATGACAGAATTACGAAGCAGTTTTAGAAACTTTAGAAACACATCATGACTCGTCATCTTGATCACCTTTACAGAAATATGATGCATCATCTTGCCCATGCTTGATGTAGGAAAAAGTGCTCCTTGCACAGAAGACAAGGTCTATAGTGGTAGGAGTGTCAAGTGGTGAGCAGCAGGTTGAGAAGAGCTGAGTAAACAAGCGCTCCCTGCAGAGCGCTGCAGAGGAGTGAGCGGCGTGTTGTTAACTGAACACAAAAGTATTTGTGAGGAACGACAAGGAACTGAGAGGTGGAGAGCGTCTGAGTGAGAGCTCAGCGTGAACCCCATTGTGGCCCGCTCATCACGGGGCATAAACCTGACAAGTAGGAATTCAGACATTTTCATTTCTCTACTTAATGTCAGTACATTGGTTTTATAATGTTAATGCGTCAACATCCTCCACGTAAGAGAAAGTGTTCTTTTAAACAGTTTCCAACGCCAGCATCTCAGATTTAAACAACCTCCTTAGATGGTCTCTTAAGTTTAGGATTTACACTGAACAAAAATATAAATCCAACATCCATCCATCCATTTGTTTTTGCTCCCATTTTTCATGAGATGAACTCAAAGATCTAAAACATTTTCTATATACACAAAATAACCATTTCTCTCAAATATTGTTCACAAATCTGAAAAAATCTTTGATAGTGAGCACTTCTCCTTTGCCGAGATAATCCATCCCACCTCACAGGTGTGGCATATCAAGATGCTGATTAGACAGCATGATTATTGCACAGGTGTGCCTTAGGCTGGCCACAATAAAAGGCCACTCTGAAACGTGCAGTTTTGCTTTATTGGGGGGGTCTGGGGGGGTCCGAAAACCAGTCAGGTTTAACCCTAACCCTAACCCTAACATGTCACCCATTGAGCATGTTTGGGATGCTCTGGATCGGCGTATACGACAGCGTGTTCCAGTTCCTGCCAATATCCAGCAACTTCGCACAGCCATTGAAGAGGAGTGGACCAACATTCCACAGGCCACAATCAACAACCTGATCAACTCTATGCGAAGGAGATCACACCAGATACTGACTGGTTTTCGGACCCCCCCAGACCCTGAGGCTGTGCGAATTTGCTGGATATTGGCATGAACTGGAACACGCTGTCGTATACGCCGATCCAGAGCATCCCAAACATGCTCAATGGGTGACATGTTAGGGTTAGGGTTTAACCCTAGGGTTTTCGGACCCCCCCAGAGCCCCCCAATTAAGCAAAACTGCACGTTTCAGAGTGGCCTTTTATTGTGGCCAGCCTAAGGCACACAGGTGTGCAATAATCATGCTGTCTAATCAGCATCTTGATATGCCACACCTGTGAGGTGGGATGGATTATCTCGGCAAAGGAGAAGTGCTCACTATCACAGATTTTTTCAGATTTGTGAACAATATTTGAGAGAAATGGTTATTTTGTGTATATAGAAAATGTTTTAGATCTTTGAGTTCATCTCATGAAAAATGGGAGCAAAAA